TTATGTTAAGAACATTTTTATGATTGATCAGGGCAAAGTGGCATGTGTGAACGAAGCAAAAGATATCTTTGACAAAATTAACAAACCTGATTCTGCCGAATTCAATGTTATGAGTAAATTGACTTTGTAGCTTGTTTGTTTGTTTGTATATTGGTCTTTATAGTTAATGCATATGGACTGAATGGAATGGGTTATGAGGCAATTCAACTCTATCATCGAATGCCAGAGGAAATGAGAAATGAAAAATCACATGTTTGTGTGTTGAATGCTTGTTCACATTCTGGTCTCGTCAATGAATGTCGTTCAATTTTCAGAACAATTCCAAATAAAAGCAATTATATTTATACAACAATAGTAATTAAATCGATAGGAACATCAAATATCGAAAATACATGTTTGCTTATTTAGATAGATTGTTTAAGTCGTTCATTTTTCTTTGATGAAGCAATGCAGTTGATCGAAGAGTTCGAGCGCCACCAATCTCCTTATCTACCGATGTACAGTAAGTTTTCGCACGAAAAAAAATCATTTCGCGTTGAATAATCAACATCGTTCTCCCAAATTTAGTGTCCTTGTTGTCAGGTGCTCGCAATCGGAACGATGTTTCTCTTGCACGACAAATAACTCAGCGAATAAAACAACTGGATCATGTTAGCGACGACTGTCTCTCATCGGCTTCTGTGCTTTTCGGTAACACTTTAGCGTCGTCAGGTGACTTAGAAGAAGCATCAAAACTAAGACTAGAAATGAACCAATCAGGCATTGGGAAAAAAGTGGGTCTATCCTGGACAGAAGTCAACGGTGAAATTGTGGTAAAGATGCGTTTTCTGTTCCATTGATACTCGTTCAACTTCTTATTTATTTTGAAGGAATTTCGTGTCAAAGATCGAAGACATCCACGAACAAAAGAGATCTACGATGAACTTCATCGAATTGAAAAAGAACTCATTGAACATGGCCACAAGTTCGATGCCAGTTGGATAACACGTGAAATGATGCCCGATGAAACTGTCGCATCCATTCTCAACAGTCACAGTGAACGATTGGCACTTGCATATCATTTCATTCAGCGACCAGTTCCATCACACATTCAGATCGTAAAGAATCTTCGCATTTGTGGTGATTGTCGTAAGTGAAGACTCGGATAGATGAAAAATATGTTTTTGTTTCTTGTTACAGATGGTGCAATTAAGCTGATCAGTAAAATCCGTCGATGTGAAATTATTATTCGTGATGCAAATCGTATTCATCATTTCTCAGATGGGAAATGTTCATGTAACGATCATTTCTAAGAAATATTTAATCTATTGTTTCATAATCATCCGGTTTCAAGTTTTTCTGCTCTTTTCTTTTCTGAATGACATGAAATAACGTTCGCCGATTAAAGATCTCTTTGGAATTCACGATCAAATTTTTTTTAAAAGAAAAAGTTGGTGATGTTGTATCACGTTGTTTACTTAATAGAGGAAAAGTTTTCAAATGGGATTTAGTCAATGACGTAATCGATAATTATGCTAGTACTCGACTACTCTGTTCACGTGATGGTTTTTGCATTCGTAAATGATGTTCTGATTTTATGAAATATACATTCATATTCGCTAATAATGCAGATTCTAATATAGAATGCTCTATGTTTTAACGAAAAACGGAAAACCTGTAAATCAGTTAGATATTATGAAGCAAGATATTTCACATCATTCACTCTTACAATATGCTCTTCATTTTCATCCGAAGTATAATGAATTGCTCACATTTGGTTTCACTAATCGTTATAGTTGGATATCTTCTTTTTCCAACAATACTGAAGGCGCTGCTTTACCCGTCGATAATTTATATTTACCACACCCAGTTTATTTACAAATCCAAGAAGAATTAGCTCGAACTTCAACTGATGGTATCTATCGTCTTTCACCTCATTTGCGAACGAATAAATGCCTTAGCGTATCAAATGATTCAACCAGTGGTAATATCCGTTCATTAAAACACATCGTATTTTGCTCAAAAATGATGTGCACTACAAAAAGTTCGAATCGAAATGTTGAACTAAACGTTAAATTGAGACTTTTATATTAATAAAAAAAAGATTCTATTGACACCCTCATAAGTTGTTACAATCATTAACTGTATCACATTTTTTGTTCAATTCATTATTATCCTTTGTTAATTGTTGATTGAGTTTTGCAGATTTGATTGGCAAAGAATTTCTCACTAAATAATTCACTTGTTCGAGAGATAAACCTTTTGTTTCCCAAATACAAAACATGGCAAAAACGAGACAACCAAGACACGTTGAACCCCACAGAAAGAATACTTTCGATCCGAGATTTCCTTTGTCTTCATCGACCATGTACGGTGTTGCATAACCAAGTGCAAAGTTAAATAACCAATTCGATGCCACGGAAAACGACATACATTTCGCTCGAATGGAAATTGGATAAATTTCACTTGTGATAACCCAAGCAGCTGGACCCCAAGTAGAAGCAAAGAATGCGATGTAAACACAAACAAATACAATAAGTGTCTTTTGAGCAGATGGATTCGATTGTCCAACAATTGTGCCAATGATGGCAACAATATATTCACAAATTAACATCCCAATTGCACCAATAATGAGAATTTTTCGTCGACCAAGTTTATCCATGAGTAACATACCGGGAATGGTCATTACGACATTCACGATATTCGTGATAATTGTGATTAAAAATGGTTGAGAAATACCTGATGCGTGAAAAAATGATGTTCCATAATAGAAGATAAAATTAATGCCAGTTAATTGTTGCCATGCTTGAAGAAAAATACCAACTAATGTTCGAAGAAGATTCTTCTGTGGTCCCATACGAAAACAATCAGCATACGAACTTGCACTGTATGTTTTCATTAATTCCAAATCATTGATCAATTCTTTGATGTCATTATCAACTTCCGGATCATCAGCGTTCTTCGAACGAAGTTTTGCTTGGGATTGATACGCTGCATCAACCTTCCCTTTCATAACGAGATAACGCGGAGATTCAGGTAGTAAAAACATTCCGAATGCAAGAATTGCTGACCAAATCAATTGAAGACCAGTAGGTATTCGATAACAATTCGAAGAATCAAAATCTTTCGTTCCATTATTAACAATCGCAGCAAGTAAAAGTCCGATGGTGATGAACAACTGATAAGCTGATACAATCGCTCCACGAATCCATTTCGGTGCACATTCCGATTGATACATTGGAACAATACAAGATATGATACCAACACCTAATCCAGCAATAAAACGTCCAATTACGAAGAGAGGAAATGCACTAGCAGCTGTTTGACAAGCAATACCAATAGAAAAGATTAGACACGCACAAATTAATCCGCGACGACGACCAAGATAATCACCAGATGGGTAGCCCAGTAGAGCACCGATAAACGTTCCTGCAGATAAAATCGAGACAATTAAACTTTTATCATTTGAACTAAGAGCGTATGCTGCATTGACTTGTTTTGAGCCAAATATTTTTAAAAAGCATTTCATTTCAATTATTCCCGATATCGAACCAGTATCGTAACCATATAATAAGCCACCAAACGCAGCAAAAGCAGAAACAATAATCGCCATGGGATTTGATCGAAGTTTAGAAAAAACCGACGAAATCATCTTCAATTGTGAAGAAGTTTATGTGACAACTCTTTGAAACGAACCAAGACGTTATGATTTTTATGTGCACCAAAAGGAGAATGTAAACAATAATTCGATTCAATCCTCGAAAGAAAAGAATCCGAGCCATTCGTTACTTTTCATATCTCTCCTTTTTCGATTACCTAGCAATGAATAAAACTGAACGTTTTTTTTTCTTTCTTTCCTTCTCTGATGCATATGACGTCATATGTGACACAGAACAATTAAATCGATCGACCGACCGTCTCGTTAAAATATGATTATATTCTTTTTCTTGATTATGTTTAAAAGAAGAAACGTCTACATTAGATACAAAATCAGATTAATGTCAAAATTCAGATCGAACTGATTGAAATTTTCTTAAATTCAAAGCAATTAGTCCAATCGTAATTATATTGCAACAAGTTGCTGATACCATAAAATAAATCGAATACCCAAGTTCTTCAAAAACGACTTTTCTTGGATACAATAAGTAGCTTAACATAAGAAGGAGTGTACTTATTGAAAGAATAATCATGGCTACATAAACAGCACGACGATCAGTTTTTCTATATCGATTAATGATGCATACAATTAAAGATACGCACAGAAGAATTAAACCGAAGACGGAAAAAATTTGAGATTTGAAAAATGGCTGTTTTTGACAGTTCTCACTTGACGACGATGATGAATAAGCATTAGATGATTGAGTGCGACATGTTATCCATAAACCTTCGTTAAATTCGTTTAATAAACTCTGATGCCAATAATCTGTTGTTATACCAATAAATGCAAAGGTAAATGAAAGAAATAGAATCGTAATAATTAAAAATTGCATCTTCTAGCAAAAGAAATGTCTCGAGATAATTCTGATATTTCTTCTTAGAAAATAGTATTTTTGTCAATGTACAATCGTCGTCGTCGTTGTTGCACACAGACAGACTTGTTGACAGAAATTCTTTCTTTCTTGATTTAGAACATTCTCTGACATAAACCAATGTCAGTGTCATGCTGTTGTTTTATCAACAAAAAGAATTGCGATAGTAATTGTGTCCGAACATATACGTTTGTAGGATTTCGCTTCATCAAACTTTAACAATCTTCAAAATAAGGACGTTCCACAGCTTCTAACAATTATTCATCGATACAGCATTTATACGACTTTTAAATCCATCCAAACAAATCTTCGACCAACTGTAACATACAATCTAATCATCTTCCACTTCAAAAAGGTTTATTTAACTCAATATTATTTTGTCTAAGTACAATGATGAACTTTATCTCGCAATAAAGGCACACCAAGATGAGTATTTTGTGAAAGCAGTTTTCTGCTACTTTCCGTACTGGATTGTTCAACACGGGATATATATGCTTTATAAATGCCCAAAAAAATCAGATCGGTATGGCATTATGAATTTATAAAAAAGAAGAAAAGCCAACGAAGCCTTCTACATCGAAGACGAGTTTAAAACATGTTTCTTCGCCAACTTCCATCACACTCCAGAATTATAACGCAAAACTAAAGTAGCTGCCGAGTTATTGTATCCAAAATATAGTATTCGTATCTTATGTATTTATGTTACTTACTTGTGTCAAAAGACTCTTTTCGCCAGTTACCTAGCTGAGCATATGCGTATATTCTGATGAGTGTGAAAACTTTCTCAAAATCTTATCTGTCATTTTTCCATAAGCATAGTCTTAATTCGCATTGTTAAGCTGTACTAATTAAAATTTTTCATGCCAAATACAAATCGAAACTCGACATTTCATAGAAAAGTCATGTCCTGATTTGATAGATTTCTGTTAAAGTATCGACCGATAAGGTCAATGATCACATTTTGTACGTAATATAAATCTTGTATTATTATCGCTGTATTCACATTTTGACTTTTTTTTTGGAAAACGAAGTATGTTTTTGTTTCGAATCATTCGATTATTTATTAAAATATATTTTAATTCTCATCGATTAAAATCTTCATTATTATTATTTGATTCTTTAACTATTCGGCGTATTGAATACTCATTCAAAATGATCGTTGCATTTGTAGTTTCTGGTTTAGTTTCTTATGGAAGCCCACTACGCAATCATTTTGATCAACAATATGTTATTTGTGTTATAAGTGTTTTATCCATTCAAGAGACTTTTGGATCAACATTATATTCAAGTATTCAAACTATTATCGCCATTCTTCCACTTTCAATTTTACTCTTCATTATTCAAATCGTTGGCCTTTCGTATCATCATTATTTAGCTACAGAAATTCTACTACTTCTCCTTTCATTAATCATTGCCTACCAGTGTACGCAAGTAAGAATTGATAATTGATTGCAGAGATCGTTGTCAGAAATTTTCCAGAATAAAAATCAAGCATCCATTATATTGTATTGATAACCTTCTCGTTTAGATTCAAACAAGAAAAATCGCTCTATTGTACAATGCGATCTTCTTCTCCACTATTGTTAATCAAAATTCATTACCCAAAGTCTTTGTATTTCTATTATTGTCTATGTTTATAATCGGCATGTCGATCGCAGTACTAGTTTCATTGTTCATCTTTCCCTTATTTGCAACATTCGATCTCGAGCACCGTTTTTCTTATTGTTTATCAAATCTTCATCGAATGTATTATTTGATAGTTCAAGGATTTTTGTCTCGTGATCGAATGACTTCGAAAGTTTCTCTTTCACGTGCATCAATTCTTGAACAAATGATTCGTGAAACAATGTTGTTAATGCAACCAAGAATTCTGGAAGCAAAATATGAACCAAGAACGTTATTAAAGCGATTATTTTATCGAAAACGGAAAAATTTCATTGATTTAAATCTTCAAGGTTGACAACATTCTTCTTGAAAACTATTTCCTTCATTTTGTTTTGTTTTAGATCAAGCAAGTCTAATAAGTTCATTGATGTTTCATATTTGTTCACTTCAGCTAATGGTCAATCAGTGTCAATTCGATGAATATCATAATGATTTACGAAATGAACTTGAATTAAGTGTTTATTATTTAAATTCGTGTCAATCAAGTCTCATTTCTGCATTTTTATCGAGAAAATCCGTCACAAATCAAGATTTACGTGATCGTTCAGCAAATCTTTCGAAAGCTGCTGAATCCGTTCGTGTTGCTTATAAGAAACTTCGACTAGAAAAGGGAATTCAGCAATCAGAAGGTCATTTACCTCACGGATTTTTTCTTTTCCAATTATTTTATATTGTTAAACTTCTCAATGACGTTGTCACAAACAGCAATCAAAATTCTAATCGAACTGTTCAACCAAAAACATTCTCTTGGAGAAATTATATCCAATTCGATCGCGCAAGATTTCTCTTAGCATTGAAAAGTATGATTATTATCGGTGTTGGCTCAATCTTTGTCATGGTTCCATATTTAGCAAAGATTTTCGAAAATGGTCAATGGATTTTAATTGCTATGTGTATGACACAAGCAGAAACCGTAGGAGGAGCTTTCACAACCATGAAAATGAGACTTATAGGAACTCTTCTCGGTAAATAACAAATCCTGATATTCTCTCCTATGTTTCACTTGTCTGTTAAGGTTCCATGTGGTCATATATAACATATTTACTAGTTGCTGACAATATTTTCTGGATATTTCTTGTGTTAATTCCTTGGATATTTTTATTTGGTTATCTACGATCGTATCCAAAATGGGGTTATACAGCAATCGTAGCGGCATTTACTCCGATTCTTGTGACATTAGGTCAACTACCGTATGGTGATCGATTACCAGCTGGCAATTATGCACTTTTAAGAATTGAGGAAAATTTCGTGGCAATTTTAATTTCCATTGTTTTAACAATGAGTATCTTTCCAGTTTTTGCCATTGATTTATTAAAAGAAAGTATTCAAAGTAAAATTCAATGATTGAAAACGATCAAATTATTTTCATTGTTTCTCTTTTCCGTTTAGAAAGTCTTCATTCGTGTGAAGAAAGTATTGATTCAATGCATAAAATCTTCGATGAATTATTCCATCATAAACATTCCGAAAAAGATTTGTCCAAAGATCAGATCAAATCATTTCTTCAACAGCAAAGGTCATCTTTTCATCAATTAATTAACTTTCAACGAATACTCGTTTCAAACGCGTCCGTCGAACCAACATTCTGTTGGTTTCAAAATCGATTTTCTAACACGAGATATAATTTAATCGTTCAACAACAAATCGACATTTTCCGAATGTTACACAATATCGATGCTACCGTAAGAAAATCTTCACAAACTTGAAAAAAAGTCAATGTCGATTGTGTTTAGGTGATCTACTTGAGTGAATATTCGATAAATGTTACAAATCAATCGAATTCTTGTTCTTTGTTTCTTCGAAATATTCATAGTGAAATCTTCGAAATAAGTCAACAAATTATGAATTGTTTACAAACGTGGTCATGTTACTTTAAGTCAAGTCAAACACGTTGTCATTATTTTACACGTGGAATTCTTGTACATCGAAATGAACTGATTCAAAATGATTTGTTTAAACATGAACAATGTCTTGTTGATTTACATAAAATAATTCATCGATTAGAACATGAAAATATTCACCAATTATTTCAGCAATATCAACAATTCGATTTAATTTTACTCGCTTTCTCGTCAATTTATTATTCTCTTGCACAATTAGCTCAAGCAACATTAAATTTAGGCACAACAATTCACGAAATCTTTGAATTAGAAATGACTGATCTTTACGAAATTTACTGATAGTTTTTTTTACTTTCATAAAATAAAAAAAATTTTATTCCAGAACATAAATCGATATGGAAATTCCCATTGTGTGTCTCTCGAGTGCGCCTTTTGTTGAAGTAAATGAAACTACTTGTAAGTAGTAAAGAAGCGCATCGATCATAATTATCTGTTCATCCATTCAATTGGCCATGCTTTCCTCTCTTCTCATTCTCTTCATGTTAAATTCCGTTGTTCAAGCGTTAAAATGTCCATCATGTGAACTTCAACTCAAAATCGGTGAATCCATTCCGAGTCCATCATCATTACCGGATGAATGTGAAATATCTGAGAATGAGATCGTTTTGTGTAAATTATTTCTTTCGATTGATTATTCTACTGATCATGTTTATGTTTGGTGGAGTCCAATACCGAATTCGATTGTAGAAGAACAAAGTGATCTTTTAGAACTTTCGTTACCACTGAAGCAAAACCAAAAAAGTATCACCAAGTATCAATTTGATTACAAATTCAAACCCAATGAGGCGTTTTACATGGGTGCGGTTGTTTACTGTCATCTAAGTGATTTGTGTATCATCAATGAAACTCAAAATCTTGTCGCTCGTTTGTATTCGTTAAAACAAATCTTGTCGAAAATTCGTCAAGAACTCGAACCTTATGTTCTTCGAGCTTCAACATCTCCATCGACAATCAAATGTTTTCATAGTTTTTCAGATCGAGTTATCGACTGTGGTGATATTAATGGAAGTGCCTGTTTCATTGGAGCACGACCGATGACAACTGAAATTGCAGCTGGTTGTACCGGAGTAGGTCTTTTTCGTTTGTTCTCGCCAATTTTGTCTACGAGAGTTTTGTTCGAAGGATCATGATCAACTGTTCGTTAGTGTTTCGTTTCATGTAGCAAATTCTCAAGCATCGAAAGGAACATGTGGAATCCATTGCAATCGTGATCAATGCAATACGATGAAAGCACATCGAAAATTAATTCAAATCGCACGAAAATATATCTTAGGTTCCAATTAATTTTCTTTTTTTCGATGATTTCCTTCGAAAATAAAAAAACTCCATTTCGGTTCAATCGATCATAAACACAAATGTTCTCTCATCACAAAAAAAAACTCATTTTCACATTTACCTTGAATCATGTTTGAAGTTCATTCATTTTAAAACCTAAGTATTGCATTATACAAATGTATGAAGTATATTAAAAGGATTTTTTTCCTTTAGAACATATATGTCATTCGTCCTTCACCTTTCAAATGTAAAGTTTCTATTACCTGATTCGTATACGCTCTTTCTTTCCTGTTGCAAAAAAAAGAGAGAATTTTTCGTATAGACGAAGAGGAAGAAGTCATTTGTTTGATTGACATTCGATATAATGGAACAAAAAATTCCTCTTGAGCCAGTCTTTCCGCGTCAACATCGTTTATTCGAATATGAACCAACTTATCCGTGGGTTCGGTATGTTGTCGCTACAGTTGCAGTTGCCTCAATCGTCGGCATCGTAATCTTAGTCTTAATGTTGGCTCTTCCGATCAGTATGCTTGTCATCGGAGTTCGATATCGTGATTTTTATTATTGTCCGATCGAACCACGTATTAGTACGTTTTTAATTGTTGCTGGCTCGGTATCGATTACTTGGATTGTCCTTTCGATTATTTTATCGATAATGACGATGTTTTTTTCATATACACGTTCAATGATCACATTGATTTGTGCCGTTGTTCTTAGTTTAGTTATTTTCGGATTACAGATCTTTTCGTTTATTTGGTTGATTATTGGAAGCGCGTGGACATTTAGTATTAAGAATCGTGTTGAACACGTCATTAATTATCCATTTAATCTTCCGTTTTATTGCCAACGAACGCTGTATCAATTTACTTTTGCGTATTTGATTATTATTTATATTCTTATGGCATTGCAATGTTGTGGACAATGTTTTATGAGTTTTCTTCGTTTAAAACAACGAAACTGAGAATTTCCTTAGAGATGTTCTCTTGTAATAAAGAACTGTGTCATGCGAACGATAAGTGTATGAAACACACGTCATCTCTTCAATTGCCAGCCTTCTTGGAGGTTTGATGGATCAGAGAAGATACACTCGCATCCTCTTCTCTGTTCATATCTTTATTTAATTCGAAAAATAAAGCACGATGCCATGTGAAAAATGATGAATTCGGTTTGCATCACGAATAAGAATCTGACTGATTAGTTTGATTGCACGGTCTGTAATACGAGACAAATCACAGAGACTATATATATTTCTCGTTTAACAAGAGCGATACTTACGACAATCACCGCAAATACGAAGATTCTCCACGATTTGAATTTGTGATGGAATGGGTCGTTGAATAAAGTTAAATGCAAGTGCCAATCTTTCACTGTGACTATTTAGAATTGATTCGACAGTTTCATCAGGCATTATCGGACGCGTTATTCAGCTGGCATCGAACTTATGGCCGTGTTCAATAAGTTCATGTTCAATTCGTTGCAGTTCATCGTAGATTTCTTGAGTTTGTGCATGAGATCGATCTTGAGCATGAAATTCCTAAAATTCGCAACAACCCTATGAATAAAATCAATATGTTAACATTTTGGCGTTTACCACAATTTCACCATTAGCTTCGGTCCAAGATAAACCCATTTTTTTCTTTACACGTGTTCCGCTAAGTTTTGATCTGATTTGTAATGCTTCTTCTAACTCGCCTGCTGATGCCGATACTAAAGACTTGTCCATGCCACGAAACAACTGTTGTATTCGATGAATTGTTTGTCGTGCCAGGAGTACATCGGTTCGATTTCGAGCACCTGATAGCAGCGCCTCTAAAGCAAATAAACACTCGATTTTCCGTTATCTATCTATTTTTAGTGGAATTTTACTGAGATATGAAAAGGTTTTTGATAAAAAAACCTATTGAAACACTTACTATACATAGGCAGACAAGGACGATGATTATTTTCATAGTTTTCAATCAGTTGTTTTGCTTCGTCGAAGATAAACGAACGACACAAACAATCAATCTAGAAAAATCAACTTATCAGTCATTATTTCACAACGAAATATATCGGCGAACCATTGCTGTATAAATCCATTCATCTTTCTTTGGAATTTTTGAGAAAATTGACCGAGCTTCTTCGACAAGTCCTGAATGTGAACAGGCATTTAGAATACAAACATAAGTCTTCTCAACGATCATCTCCGACGGCATCTGATAGTAAAGTTCAAGTGCATCATGGCCCATTCCATTTAGTCCATATGCATTAACTATTCGAACGAACTATTAAGCGACAATGATAAAATACAAGATAAACTTACTCATAGCAGTATATGTCACAGAATTCGGTCTATTGATCTGTTGGAAAACTTGTTTCGCTTGATTAACACAACCCGCTTTGCCCTGATGAAACGTAAACAAATTGATAAACAAAAGCTCAGTAACTAACTACATCGTACCCACATGTGCACTAAAGCACTCTGAATTTTCAGATCAGTTGACATTGTCGATGGAATTTGTTCGGCAATTGATTGACACCGTGACTTCAGTCCAATTTCAACACATGCATCAATGAGGAGAAGGAAAACGACTGCATTGGCTTCGATTCCTTCGCTTTTCATCTTCTCATATAAATTGAGGGTGTTCATGGGCTTACGATGATCATTGTAGTATTTCATTAATTGTCCATAATCAATGACATTACGTTTTGTTTTAGCGAACGTGATATTTTCCGCACTCGACACATCACCACATTTAATAAACATATCAAGTGCAGCATTGAGAATGAACTGATTTCTTTGATTAACTGATGATAGCTGAGACCAGACTTTTCGGCCAATGTCTAATGCATGTGTCGTTCGAGTATGAGCACAACTGTTGAACAGAAGACAGAGGAGAATTTCATCTGGCTTGGGTATTTTCGAAAAGAGTTGAANATCGAACAGACAATTGTCACCGCTTTTTCCGGTAATTTTCCATGAGCAAGTGAATGAAGTGTTCGAAGAAGATCAAGTGCTGTGACCGAATCTAAGCCTGATGTTGGTTCATCGAGAAAAAGTAATTGTGGACGATTGAGTAATTGCATTCCCACACATACACGTTTCCGTTCACCACCTGAAATACCTTTTTTCAACGTCGTACCAACGATAACATCTCGAACATGAGTTAAACGCATATCCATCATAACATCTTCGACTCGTGTTCGTCGTTGTTTCGTTGTAAACTCTCGTGGTAAACGAAGTTCAGCTGTGTACATCAGAGTCTCTTCGACTGTCAATGAACCATTCAGTAAATCATCTTGCATGACATATCCAGCTATACGTTTTAATTCAGCATTGTTGTACGGTGCTCCGTTCAAGCGAATTTCACCTTGGACGATTGTATTCACATCCAGACGACAAGCTAAGGTGTTTAATAGAGTGGATTTTCCCGAACCAGATGGACCTGAAATTTGTAAAGGAAAAATGTTTGTTTTATCATGAAAGAATAGATGATTCACCCATAACAGCCCATAAGCCTCCGATAATGGCTCCACTGACATTGTTGAGTAAACATTTTCGTTTTGGAACGTATCGATTGCATGTTTTGACTTTTTTGAAGAATTCTCTATGACTTGGTTCACGAGATGTCACTGTTAAATGTTGCCAAACAAGAATTGTACTGACCCGGTCGGATGATGGGTCAAGTAGAGATAATTGCCGTTCAAAACCTCCAATAGTATTCTTTGGTTGATGTTGAATGGAGTCTGGCATGTCACACGACATTCTGTAGATGACAAACGATGGTCTGTTCGAAACAACTCGACCTTTAGATGGAATTTGAACATCACTACGTTCATCAACGTCAAGAGTGGAAAAAGCGAAATCATTCATTCGATGGCAAAGTCCTTGTCAAATATATTTCAAGGTTATGAAAGAGAACAAATACAACGACATTCTTTGAGGTCGATTCCTTTTATATATCGAACGAAACATATAATTTTTTACAGTGCAAAAATTTTAATTGATGTTGACAATAGAAGAGCGTACCGGTTACCAAACCGGTTCAGTTCTGTTTTTTTTTCTTTGACAAAAATAGATGTACGTATGAATAATCTTACTTTCTTTTGAATTATACATACAATCGAGAGAACCGGTTACGAATCACGCGAATGCTTTTGTAAGTTATCACTTAATAAGAAATACTTTCTGATGAAAAACAAATGTCATTATGTCTTGTTGAGAATGACTCTCAAGTAAATCAAAACATTAAAAAAACACAAGCACTTTTTCGAACGCATATCTCTCGTACCTGATCACCTCGTCATTCATGAAGTTTTTGAAGTGAAAACAATCGATTTGTATCAATTGTTTGAAATGGTTTTCTTTCAGTTAAACAGATTTTTATCATTTGAAGCTCGAGTTTATTCACGAATCTTACATTTCATCTTATTGTGATACGATCATCTCCTTGAACCGAGTGGATCATACGGCTCTCTCGCCTATACATACCCTACTCAATGGAAATATTCGACTGAATCTGATGAAAGTAGCGTCGCTTGTCTTGTCTGTTAATTGATGATCAATCATATGTCCTTTCGGCTATACCAGTGATCTTGACGACACTGAGTCAAACTGACTTCAAGAACATGTTGAATGACTATAATGAAAGCATTGTCTTCTATATGTGATCGAAAGGTGATACAGTTGGTTGATCATCCATTAGAAAATCATCCTAAGCAGCAGAAAAGAGGCATCGCCATAAACTTTCTGACTTAAACGATATGGACATTGTTTCTTACCAGGCTGTTGTTCAACGATTCAGGATACTCATTTTGAACTAAAACACATATGAATCAACATGAATATATGTTTGACACATTTGATCTTGACAGGCCATTATCTAACCATTTATTTATAAGATCTTTTTTGTTCCAAGGAAGATCTTCGACGAATTGTTGTCGTCACAGGTCGATCGTTCCGGCGACTGGATCCTTATAAATTTGAGTCGGTTTCGGTAAATTCCTTGCCGCCGGAATGACCTAGGGTGCTGATTTCTCCTATGATCGTTGTTTGGATGTGATGATTCATTCCTCGAGCGGTTTTCAGTCGTTCGTCCGATTCTTCCGTGCGAATTTGCTTAAGAAACACGTTAATATACTGTAAATCTTCGGATGGGAAATATTCCTGAACAGTTTTACATTTTCACTTTTCAGGAACAAATGTCGGAATTCAAACCAAGTGAGTATTCACAGTTTTAATTGGTCCATTTGTTGCCTTTGTTCTTGCAAAAATTGATTGTCTTCTGTCATATGATGTTTTTGGAGAAACTGCCACCAGTGGTTTTAACACATATTCATGTGTTAAATGATCAAAATGACGAATAATTGAATCGGCCACATCAACTTCACTAAATCACGCCATTACTAAAACTTGTATGGTAGGTCCTGTGTTCCAGATGACACAAGGTCTTTTGGGAGAATGCCCAAGTCGAACAATCCGGCACGAGAACGGCCGGTTCCGTGGTATTCTATGGAGATTTCATGGAATCCTGCTTCAGGAAACATCGTCCTGGGTGATCGCCAGACTTTTACGATAACGATGTTAACGATGATTCAGATCGATTGTCAGTTTCTGAATCGAAATTTCATTGTCTTTCAAATAAACTGGCCATACTTATTCTAGCTGTATGAATTTCGCCAATTGTTTGGCTGTGAACATGTTGATACTCCTAAAGATATAATAATAACTTTAAATCTTTGGAAAAAATCCATAGCTAGTTTATTTACCAATAGCAGACATTTCTCAAGCGAAGAGTGAATGTATGAATAAGCAGAAAGAAATCTTCCAAAAAATACATTTGCTTTCTGTTTTTGTGATTCGACGATTAAAACCATAGCGAGAATCATCAATCAAAGATAATAATATGAGAGAAATCATGTTTGTGAGTGTGAACCAAACTTAACGTCAGCCAAACTCGAATCCATACTTCATGGTTTGCTTATTTTGTCTATATATAACATATATCTCGCCAAATAGCATTTTAAATCGAGTTAATTCATGTGGAACTAAGGTTATTTTTGAATTTTTCTCTCTTTTCTTGCACATGATGCGTTATAGCGTTTGTCCGGAAATTTCATCTATTTGGAGGTAAGGTGAATTTCCGGGAAATCCAAAAACCATATTCCAAAACAACTGTTCATAGTCGAAATGGATATTCTAAACAGACCACACAAAGCTTCCAGTGAGGGCACGGCGAAGGGTGATCAGGGATTCATTCCAGTCATTCTTTGTTTTTCAGCAATAACTTCTACTCATGTTTTATTGCTACAGCTATGAGCATCTGAAGAAACACAATGAATTTAGTCTACCTCAAGAGCTTTGGTAGTTTCCGTATAGTCCAGCATGGAAGTTAAGTGTTGAAGAGCTATAAAAGATAGAAAATCAGTATAATTCAAATTTCTATGCTTCCATTCCTTATTTTTCCGCCGTGCATCGCATAAAATGGTAGTTTCGGCTATATCTTTTTATGCAAAAGAGTTACCGAAGCTGATTTCTGCCTCAGAAATCATGAAAATTTCCTCTTTCTCACTCTCATGTCATTTCATACTTTATATCCTTCGAGTTCACTCGCCCTCAACATTTATCTTAATCTTTTGAGATCCTGTAACGCTAATGGTGAGTTTCGCAGATTATCTGTAGTATTCACCGAACTATCATTGGTGTAGAGAACACGTGGCTTGTTGTCTTTGAGCGCTCAGACGGCCTTCGCTATTGATTTCATCCACTTTCGAAATCCTGCAATCCTTTTGGTCTGTTTCATACATTGCCTGTAGCAAACGGCTGGGCTCTTTGTTCTCGGGGAAAAATAGATGTCGACCTTCCTCTGGGTCTCAGGAAGCATTATGGAAAATTTCACGCCGATAGCTACTACAGGGACTGAATGCATAGTGAACAGACAAACTTTCTTCTTTATATATATAAAGTGGAGGAAAAAAGTTTAGCACATTTTGTGTTATTAAGAAATTTTTTCAGAGACAATCCAGTGAGGTCATCTGAGTGGCGATTTCGCTAGTTGGTGGAGTTGTCTACAAAGTTGATACAAGAACACTTTTTGATCATAGGTTTTTTACTGTCCTACTAACAAAAAGCTTTTCCGACAGCGGAAAAAAGTTTAGCACATTTCTACATAACCGTTAGTTATTTACCGAATTTTACGTTATTTCAGAGCAAGGCGTGGATGATTTATACACCGTGTAATACTGAATTTACCAAGCTATATTTAAAAAAAAATAGGTCGCAAAAAAATTAATTATTACATCAATTATTGATTAGATTAACTGTTTAATTTTTATTTTACAGTAATTAAGATTTATTGATGACTTTTAAGAATTATTTTCACCTTTTCAGCATTCTAGAAGAAAGAGCATTAAAAAATGAACTGATTTCCATAATTGTTACATCCAAATAGAAATGTTTTCTGTAACTATGAGGAGATTTTACCTCTGGTAATGGCTTGACGGCCATTAATTAGGCTCTAGTATAGCTATACAGTGATACTTTAAATCCTGAAAACCTTCGCATTTTGTAGCACAGGATCTGCCCTTTCGAATGATATGTTAGCGACTTCTGCGCGATTCATTGTTCCTACGTTAGAGTGTATTTTGTTTTGTAGAACGATTTCGGTAATATTTTTCATATATTTTTCTGCTGTTTTTTGCATGCCATAGTAGAAAACGCTATAACATATTCATGGAGAGTGGCGCAGAAGTCGCTAACATATCATTCGAAAGGGCAGATCCTGTGCTACAAAATGCGAAGGTTTTCAGGATTTAAAGTATCACTGTATAGCTATACTAGAGTCTAATTAATGGCCGTCAAGCCATTACCAGAGGTAAAATCTCCTCATAGTTACAGAAAACATTTCTATTTGGATGTAACAATTATGGAAATCAGTTCATTTTTTAATGCTCTTTCTTCTAGAAGGCTGAAAAGGTGAAAATAATTCTTAAAAGTCATCAATAAATCTTAATTACTGTAAAATAAAAATTAAACAGTTAATCTAATCAATAATTGATGTAATAATTAATTTTTTTGCGACCTATTTTTTTTTAAATATAGCTTGGTAAATTCAGTATTACACGGTGTATAAATCATCCACGCCTTGCTCTGAAATAACGTAAAATTCGGTAAATAACTAACGGTTATGTAGAAATGTGCTAAACTTTTTTCCGCTGTCGGAAAAGCTTTTTGTTAGTAGGACAGTAAAAAACCTATGATCAAAAAGTGTTCTTGTATCAACTTTGTAGACAACTCCAACAACTAGCGAAATCGCCACTCAGATGACCTCACTGGATTGTCTCTGAAAAAATTTCTTAATAACACAAAATGTGCTAAACTTTTTTCCCCCACTTTAGAAGATGGTCTTCGTTTTTCAAATACAAACAAGCCTATCTGTTGCTATGAATGTTTCTAGAGATAATCTTTTGTACGTGCCTCTCAACATCGAGTCTTCAGATCTGCCGGACACTGGTTTGAACAGCGATCGTCATTTTCAGTAAGAGTAGTATTCGAATTCTCTACATCAATTGATTATTTCACTCTAGATTGCACATGAGAAACTCGATTGATCCCAACGATACCATTGCAATAAAAGTTGCAAAATTGTTTCTCGAGGTCGAAGAAAACAAAAGAATTCAATTGGATACTGGCATTCAACAGATCAAAGCATTCGAAGAACAACAAGCATTTCAAAGTACGAATCTATCCAAAGATTAATTTTATCCATTCCATTGATATTCTTCCTTCGTTTTAGAATTAAAAGAATTAGAAAAACAAAAAGAAGAACATCAAGAACAAACAAGATTGGCCAAAGAACACGAAAAATTAATCGAAAAGAAAATTCTCGATAAACGCGAAGAATTAAAAAGAAAATATGGCTCAAAATGAAAAAATGATTTCTCAAAAAAAAATGTAAACGTTCTTTTTTCTTCTCATTTTTTTAAATTTCTTTTCTCTAATATGTTTTCTTGTCTTTCTTCATGTTCAATAAAATGATAATTGATCGTTATCGATCTTTCTCGACTTTTTTTTAATTTAAAACCTGCACATCAACATGAAATCAATCTTCTATCTTTCGCTTTAGATGAATATAAAGATGCAATGAAGATTTGTCAATGATGGATAAACGTGTTTTATCGAAAGTAAATTTCTCTTGAAAGTGTTATTCGTAGATAGAGACGAGAACTCCTTCAGATTGACGACCGATTTAATCTGATATTTGTGGAAGAAAAGAAATTCGATTAGACTGAAAAAAGTTTTGAGTGGCTAAATTGTTTATGTTTTCAACCGAATGATAATTTCAATTCTTTATCAAATCATCAGTTGCATTCTCATTGATGTTGGAATGAAAACTTCATTCTTCATCATTCATATCAAAACTGTTTCAACATCAACATCCAGTCAAATCATCATTGAATGTTTTCCTCGAAATGGCACAAATATAGAATGATCGATGAATCGACACTCAACAAATCTTTTTAGCAAAACTTTTCTTTAAAGAACTGATTTTTATTATTTAAATTTACAAAAATATCACTCCTATTGAAAAGCGAAGATAAGCCCACCAGGATAACATTGAAATTGGTCTAATCGATAAGATTTCGTTCCGCACGGATAAAAATCTTCTTCACATTTCGTCTCGAGAATTCTCAACGAATCTCGAGGAATGCGAATGGCAATTTCCGCAATCATCAATCCATTTCTATGAAATAAACTTGGAAAAGATGCACTGTAATATCCATCCACATTAACAAATTGAGAAATTGTATCTGCCGTGATATTATATCCAAAGCTTTTGTAAAACTCACTCGACTTAAATCTTGTTTGCTTCCACCAAATGTTGTATTTCTTGACTTTAGAATAGTTGGTTGTTGGTTGACGACGAACCAATCCTGAGGATGGCAAGATCGTTTTTTGATTCCATCCACTGCTGGATGATATGAATAATCATTTGTGATCACATCACCGTAATATCGAAGTAATTCGAATAGATCTTTCCACGTGATTTCGTATCCAATGGCCAGTTGAAGAATTGTTTGTTGAAATACCAACTGAAAGAAACTTTCTTTTGAAGAAGTGACACTCATTATTGATTGATTTTCGACCAAATGATATTCCAATTGTTTCGATTTGTTAGATTGAACAACTTCAATTTCTTGGTCACTTCGAAATTCAGGAGATTTTCATAACCCCATTCAACGTATTGTTCAGCTCCATCCAAATTCGACAACCAATAATTTCTCGCTGCATAAATATTCATCACACTGGTTTGATTCGGAAATCCAGATGATGGAAGTTGAAGTGCTTTGTGAAGAACAGTACTAATTGGTAGTTTGATTAATTCTAAATCATGTTTAATGACATATGAAACATTCGGTAGAACTTCAGGGAGATTTCCAATGGAATGGAACGACGCAACTGATGATCAGAATAAAGAATTGTTTCCATGCGATCATTTTTAGTGAATCTATCGAGGGTAAGAAAATGAACTCGAATTGTTATGAGAGTGAAAAGAAAGAAAACTCGTCCGTATGACATCTACGTATATATTCGACAGAGAATATAATGACTTATCGAACGCGAATTCGAATAAGTAAAGACTCAAGTGATTTATCAGAATGGTTTTGCTCGTATTATTTATTATTGTGACAAAATAAACATTATCAATTAGTCATAATGTGACGATCAAAGCGAATCACATCCGATGAGCTTCGAGATTCATCGTTTGCATTGGCTGATTGGCCAGAATGTGACGTCATTTCATTAGGAAAAAATTTTCAGACGAGAAAATTATGTCAACAACAAACAGATCTTTTGAGCGTTGATCATTCAGAAATTAAATTCTTAATTATTCATCGATTAAATCAATGACAAAAATAAATCGCCTGCGAGATTATCATTCTGTGTCGAAGACTTGGCATATTCAATGAATCATAGAGTACATCCTTTTTGTGATGCCCATCTATTTGAATATCAATAGACTGTTGGACAGGAGAACACTTGAATTATTACCCAAATTCCTTCTTGTAGAATAATCCAATATACTTAACGAGCATCTCAGTTAACTGCATTTTATTATTCATTCAACGTTTTGTCTTACGAGGGAACCTCCCGAAGTGATTAACGAGTTTAAAGCTCATCTTTCGGCCATAAGTAGAACTCGATGGTGTATCAAGAACCACCAAAGGATTTGGGCCCTTATGACTTTGTTCCCGAGTTATGATCGTTTTACTCGATTTTTGGCTTATCGCAAGGCATTTCAATAAAATCCTAGAGGCGCATTTTGGACCTGAAATTTTGCCCATTGATAGGTCTCATCGACACTAAATTTCTCTAAAAATATCAGCTCTAACGGATGCCCGCTTCTTCAGATAAAAAAAGCTTTCAAAAATCCTGTATTTTATTAATCACTCGAAAATAACTGATCTATGTTAGAAATTCATTATCTCATGAATGAGACATTCGTTAGAGCTGATATTTTTAGAGAAATTTAGNGAAGGTTCCGAAGAGAACCTTACAGGAAAAACTGAGAACGAAGGTTCCGCAGCAAAGGTTTAGTACGAAACTTTTTTCTTCAAAAGACAGAAGGTTCCGTATCATAGGTACCGTACGGAACCATGTGTAACTATATTAAAAACCGTTTCGTCAAAATCCATAGCTGCGAAACCTTGGTTCCATTAGTTGTTCTCCCGGGTTGGTCACAGATTCCTTTATAGTTATCCTCCCACAGGCTCCGTATTCAGTCACTACAGAATATAGGCTGTGGGTGCAGGCGTTCGGACTGAGTGGTACGAAACATAGTTCACCCCTTTCGAACGTCCACACAGCTTCACCCACCCTTTCGTCGTGACACGAACGTGCGAGTAGGTTCCAGCCAGTCCAGTAGATTTATTCCGATCAACTCTAAACAAGCAAGACGATATAATGTGGTTTATTAAATATTATCACTTACCTGGTAAAGTGCCAGGCTATTGAGAATTTTCCGTCCATATATTTGCGTCGATATAGTGACGACTAGTGAAAAAAACTAGAAATAGATAGAAAATGAAAAATGCATGGATATTTATAGGGTCTCCTCGGACGGTCTATTGAAAACTGGACGTCCGCCGAGATGAATAGACATAAGTGACGACTAGTAAAAAAACTAGAAATGAATAGCAAATGAAAAATGCATGCATATTTATAGGGTCTCCTCGGACGGTCTATTGAAAACTGGACGTCCGCCGAGATGAATGGACATAAGTGACGACTAGTAAAAAAACTAGAAATGAATAGCAAATGAAAAATGCATGCATATTTATAGGGTCTCCCCGGACGGTCTATTGAAAAGTGGACGTCGGCGGTACTTCGAAGTACTTCCAACACTTTCTATACGTACAAGTTCTATTTAGCTTGGAAGTACTTCGAAGTACTTCTAACACTTTCTATTCGTACAAGTTCTATTTAGCTTGGAAGTACTTCGAAGTACTTCTAACACTTTCTATACGTACAAGTTCTATTTAGCTGGGAAGTACTTCGAAGTACTTCTAACACTTTCTATACGTACAAGTCTTATTTAACTGGGAAGTACTTCGAAGTACTTCCAACACTTTCTATACGTAAAAGTCTTATTTAGCTGTGAATTACTTTTTTTGATTGGACGAAATGGTGCAACGTGTTCTGGTCCTTGGATTGGGATAGCACGTAAAGACATAACTGATGCATTTCGGATAGGATTCGCTTTGGTCGTGTTCTGGATCGAGTTTCTCTGCAGATACACAGCAAACGCTGTTTTTTGAACCTACAACTGAAGAAAATCTACTGTCTAAGGTAGATATTATGGAAAGCATAACGTGGTCTTGTGAATGGTGTGTCATAAAGAATTTTGTATGTTGAAACGAGTACGCGATAACTCATAAACATAGGTAGGACAATAATTGGAATTGGATGAAAATGGTATATTTGCATGTAAAATTCAATACATATAGGCGCGACGGTTTTTGTTCATATAACGGTGCTGTCCGTTTGAAATGATAAGAATACGTTAGGAAGGAAAAAAGAGAGCGATGTGAAGAAAAAAGTCAGTCAGACGCGTCGCGCGTACAAATATTCGTGGACAAAGAAATAAAACCACATCATGTTTGCGGTTCACCTTATGCTTTGCAGGAAGTAATGCTACGTACAAAATTGCTTACGCTTTCACGTTTTCGGACGAAAATCCATTGTTACTGCGAATTTGATAGGTTGGTGAGTACGCTTGATTCGTTTGAGAGCGATGCTTGTAACGTCTAATAGATCTAGGCTGAAAACAGGCGAAAAGAGATGTTGAAACTGTCGGAGGAGCTAGATATAATCGAAGTTATCAGAGAAATAAATGGTCGCAGTAGTGTTTCCCCAACCGAATCCAGGTAATTTCCGATTATCACCGGATTCAGCTGGTTTCCTATGGTCACCGGATCCAGCTGATTCC